TGACCCCATGTTCTTGCAGCTTCAAGTCCATATGAAAATGCTCGGGAATAATTTGCAGTTGTTTTCAGAAAACAAGCTGCTTTTAGGGCGAACAGCGCAGCAGCAGAGCAGCAGATCAGGCAGGAGAGGGGGTCGGGCTGCTCTGTGGTGGGGCTGCCAAGGTGGGTCCCCACAGGGGAGCACGCACACACAGACACGCAGACAAACAGACAGACACACACGCGTACACACAGACAGACACACACAGACACAGACACACACGTCACGGCCCCCGGTACGCGTAGGGCAGGTTAGTGGCAAACCCAGAGCCGCCGCCGTCACCGGCCCGGAGCCCCGCGCACCCTAGGCGCAGGCCGCTGCCGGAGCCGGGGCCGCCGCGCTGTGGCTAAGCTCCCAGCCGGGGGCCCGCAGCGCCTCGGCCGCGGGGGCGGGGACGGGGACGGGCCCGCGCCGCCGCCGACACTCACTGTCCCGCTCCGGCATCTCGACCCGCGCGGCTGCGACAACACAACACCTGAGAGCTGGAGTTACCCCTTCCCACCATGCACCGCGCCCACCACTACCCACAATGCAGCGCTCTAGGGCATCCTGGGTAGCTGTCTTCGGATTGGCTAAGGAGGTTCTCAAAGCGCGGCTCGATTGGCTGGAGCCCCTGTGACACGGCGCGTCTTCCAGACTTGCGGGGCACAGGATTGGCTGGCGGTGTGCTGCGAAGATGGCGGCTGCAGCTGCAGCGGTTCGGGGTATCGGGGGCAGCCTGGGCCGGAGCCTCAAGGAGATTCGGATCCACCTGTGCCAGCGCTCGCCAGGCAGCCAGGGCGCCAGGTGAGGGCCCCGGCCCGCCGTGACGCCCCTGGGCGCGGACTCCTGCCGGAACGGCCCTTCCTTGTTCCTGCGTCGCTGCCCCGCCGTGCTCGGCGCTGCACCCCGAGGCGGAGGAGCGGCCCTGCTCCGGCCAGAGACGCGGGGGCGGGCAGCGGGAGACCACCAGGGGCCGCGTGAAAGAGCCCCGCGGGGAAGGGGGTTGTGCTTGAGCCGCTGCTGGAAATGGTTTCTCTTGGACTCTCCTGGATGTGCTCCCTCCTGGGGTGGTCATTGCAGGCTTCCCTCACTGCCCTTCAGGGTGCCCTGGTGTCCGTTTTGCTGGCAGCTTCTCCAGCTCCTGCTTCCCCCAGCACATAGTCAAGGCTGGGCCCCTAGATATTGCTGTGTGAGGTCAGGCCAGTGTTCATTTGACTCTAATATTTATTCTCTGACAGCAGCACATATGGGAGAGCCAGGCTGGGCAGGTGGGCTTATGCAGAAAAAGATGTAAGAACTCTAAAGTGATGAATATGGAGAAACCTACTCATGAGTTAGTTTCTTCTGAACTCCCTTTGGGACAAGTGATAGTGAGAGCCTGGTGTGTAGTATGGTCCCAGGGACTAGACACACTCACTTGAATTCTCTTCTAGGGAGCTTATGGGGTTTCTTTCCCTGGAACTAGCTGAGAGTGAGCCAGAGTACATTTCATAATTGAAAAGCCCCCATAATACTTACTTGTGCTGCAGTTTTGTTTGATTGGATGTTACGGGAGTGACTGTTTGGACAGTGTGTCTTCAGCACAGCCCTTCTGAATTATAGGGTAATCTAATAAAGGTTGTAAATGGATATCTCTCATTTGACACTGGCCTCGTTTGTCCTGATGTTTGACCTGGATCAAAACGGGTATGGTGCAATCATTTACATGATGCCCTTTCAGGCTGCGTTGCTGCTGCTGCTCTGCCAGACAAGAATGTACAGCCTAGCTGGCTTGCCCTGGGTGGGCAAAAAAGCAGAGTAACCTTACAGGTGCATGCAGCCATGTCCTGGGGAAAAAGTGTTGGCACACTTTATCCTGCATAGTTCAGAGAGATTGGATCCTGGGGTGCGGGGAAGGCTTTTTCCTGGGACAAAAGCGTAATTACTGTACAACTGTGCAAATTGTCTGTCATCCTAACATCTATTCCCAGCCCTTAGATTCTGAATGTGTTGACTCTTGCTTTGCTTTGTTAGGCTTGCCATTAAAGTGGGCAACGTTTCTAGTGACACTAATTCAGCTAATGGGTTTGAGCATTAAGAATGACTGGGCTTTCTAGTGTTTCATTTTTTTTAATGCCTAAAGCCTATAAACTTGTAAGTTTCCTATAAGCTATAACAAAATGGTATGTTAACTGAGAGAGTTAGCAAAAGTGATAAGGCTTGGTATGAATTTAGCTGAGAGTCCGGTCTATATGCTGTGGCCTGGTCTCAGTGTCCTGTAATGTTCCATGATGGTGGTCAGTGATGTATAAGACCCTCTTGGGCAGTGTGACTTGAAGCAGTGGAGTGAGATAACAGTTGTTTTGAGCCTGCTCCCTTTGACAGCTTCCCCCAGCAGGAGGAAGACTAATAAAAAATATTCCTCTGCACTTCTCTCTTGCAGCTAGATTCCCTCTGCATGCCAGAGGAACTTCCTGTACTGTGATAGGTGACACTTGTCTCTGCCTGAGGTGAAAGGACAATATTGATGTTATGACATTTGTCTGTCTGAACACACAGGAGATAAGAGATCCCTTGTAACCTTTTGCATTTATTTTGCTACCCTCCAAAACCTTGCACAGCCCTGATGCTACCAGATGAGCACTTTGATTTAGGTGAGAGGGAGTAGAGCTGAGGAACATATTTTCATTACTGTAACTTCTATGGGGAATAGGACAGCCTCTCCCTCTGAATGCTTCAGAGTTTGCTTTAGAAGGACTGAGTGCATGTGGAGCTTTTGAGGCCTTAAGAATTAAATATATTTTAAATCTCTCTCGCAGTAGCTATGGTTGGCAATGATATTGGGATTTAATTTGTTCTCTTTTTGCAGAGACTTCATTGACCAGCATTATGTGACTCTGAAGAAAGCAAATCCAGATTTCCCCATCCTAATCCGGGAATGCTTAGAGGTGAAGCCTAAACTCTGGGCTCGATATGGTGAGTTGGGAGCCTGCAGCACCCTATCAGTATCATGGCCCTTTTGTTTTGAAGGTTAGCCTCTTGTTTCATGTACTACCTTCAGAAAAAGCTCACACGAGCAATTGTGGCACTATACACTTGGTGTCTGTATTAAACCACAAACTCATCAAGTGGATTGCTTTTAATACAGAGAAGGGTGACTATATACATTGCACACAAGGGAATGGATTCAGGATGAGGCTGTGGGGCCTACTCAGTTTGAGAAATAAGAAAGCAAGACAGCAAATCAAAACAAGAGCCTGATTTATGAAAGGATAAGAGATTAAGGAGTTAAAGTATGTTGCAGCTGCGATTAGTTTAGGAATTATGTAGTTGGATGATCACCTGTCTGGGGTCTTGTGAACCCAGCATTCATTCCTGCCTGTGGCAGGGGGTCAGGCTAGATGATCTGTTCAGGTCCTTCCTGACCCTAGCTACTATGAAATGATGTGAAGCAAGGATTTGGGGGTGGGGGGAAATATGTTTATTCCAACCAGGCAGTGGGTCCAGTTCAACTTAGACAAGCTTTCAAATTCAAGACATTCTTCATGAGGTCATAAGGAGTTAAGACATTTAAATTTACCATGATGGTGATAAGTCCAAATAGTTCTGAATGCTAGCATTAGTGTGCAGTGTGCTTAAGTCTTTGATTGAAGTTAATTTTTCCCTTTGAATATTTCTGTCTGATATGGGTGTCTACTAAGCTGAGATCCCTGTAACAGATGCATGTGTCTTGTTTTGTTATGTTCTGTACTATTTTCTTTTGTTCTCTTTAGTCTTACTTTGTACTGTGTTCTGCTGGGTTTTTTCACTTATTCTTTGCTGAAAAAATCCTTAAACATCCTTAGAATTGGCATATGGAACGAATTATGGAGGCAAGTAGTGCAGCAAGAACCAAGCAGGAGAGTTACAATACAACCAGCAGGGGGCACACCAGAAAATCTTTCAGACAGCTTTTCCTCAAGCACTTCCCAGGATTTTGAGATGAATGAAATAAGACCAGGCTGTTTTGCCCCTGGCAGAGCAGCGCCTCTGACAGACTAGGAGCCTTGCTCATGGAGCTAGCAAGTGAGGCTATCTTTCTGAATAGTCTCTTTCAAGGGACAAACAGTACAGAACGCAGGTAAGCAAAAACAATAGGACAGAACTATGTGAACACCGAGGAGGAGGAAGACCATTTATAGCTAGGAAGTGGAGAGGCCAAAACTTGAGAAAAGGAAGGGGAAAAGCCTTATGACATGCCATATTTGTGAGACCGACTAGTACACTCCAGATCTGCAATAGAGAATAAACTACACTGAGGCTAGGGAGGGAAAAGAATGAGGTGGTTCTTCTGGATGTTGCTAATTCTCTCTTTTCCCCCCAGAGTTTGGCAGGGAAAAGTGCGTGCCCCTGAACAACCTGAATGTGGACCAAGTTGCCCAGGCCCTGGAGAACATTGTTAAAAGCAAGGCATGAATACAAAGAATTAAGCCTGCATGTGCTGGAGCCTTTGCTCAAACGGGCTAACAAAGAATATGTTCTATCTGTCATTGTAACTTATTCACTGCATATAAAGCATATTGTAAGATGCATGCTTTTAATAGAGATGCTGTGCTGGAAGGTATCTTGTAATCTGTGCCCCTTACTAGAGGGACTAAGTCTGTGGTGATTCAGTGATGACCTGTTTGAGGAAGGAGACCTTTTCCTCCTGGTCAACTGAGACTGTTCTGGTCCTTGCCTAAGCAGCCATGTGAGCAGAACAGCTTCCTGTAGTGGCAGGCAGGAGGTACTTAAGGATAAGGGGAAAGCTTCTCATTAATACTAAGCTATCCTCTAGTAGTGAGTGTGCTAGGCTGCGTAATCTCAAATTCCAATACAATGAACCTTACCAATAATGCTTAGTTATGACACCCTTTGCCTAGGTACCACTTACTGATCTCCCAGCTAGTTGTCTGTAAGATCACTCAAGTTTTCAGATTGATACTTTATCAGAAAATAGCCAGTGCACTTGGCTCATAATATGAAAGTAGGACATCATAAAATGGTTTATTAAACTCCAAAATATTTATCAATATACAAAACTGGTGGGTGATTAATAGGAAAAGTAACTAGTGTAGAGGCAGTAGCCTCTAGGGGAGAGAAGATGGTACAGCAGCTGAAGAAACCAAGGAACAGGGTGAGGCTGCAGTTGGCTGGGTAGCCAAGTTCATGAGTGCTCTTACTCGTTCCTGAAGCTCTGGGTGGTGCTGATGCTGTTCCAGGGCCTGCAGTCCTGCTTGGGTGAAAAAGTCAGCAGCAGCCTGTTCCAGAAGAGGACAGTAAATTAAGAGCTAGCCCAGACTGGGAGCTGTCCCAAAGGCTTCTGTATAGCCCATGTGAACTGTACTGCCTTGGATCTTGAATAAAACTCAACTCATCCTACCAGCTCTTGGGAATGAGGTTTAAGGGTTAGTTAAATTTATAATATGCCTGCTACAACAATATCCAGGTGCAATGCTCAGATTAGTCAAGGTAGTTTAACTGTCTCATATTGCCGTGGTAAACCCATGGAACTTGAACTTTCCTGGTTCTGGGTGGTGGCAAAAGAACAGAAGTTTCCCTGGACTGTATTTTCAGTACAGGTGAGCCTAAGTCAGCAGGTGTCACCAGCCCCTTGCCCTACAACATTCTTTGCTTCATTGTTCTGTGTTTGGTGAAGTTAAACACACTAAAGCTTTTTAAACAACACATTTGTTTGGACAACACAAGGAAAGACAACCAAGCTGTACCTCTGGCCAATGCAGGAAGAGGAGATGCAGCAGCTCAAGGCACTGGCCTGCCACTTCAGCATCAGAGAGGGTGAGGATACTGATCAGCGAAGAAAGCACAGCCTTCTGGTGTAGCTGTTGGCAGTAGGCGCAGCCCTTCTCAGCTATGTTGCACAACACTGTTAGAACCTACAAAGAGATGACATAAGTATGCTAAGCTGCACCACTCCACAACTGCCACCCAGGTGACACTGAAGTAACTATGGCTGGTTATGCTGGCTGTAAACAACCATCTGTAACAAGGCTGTCCAATTAGCCTGCTAGGAGTAGTGTGCAACCCACAAACAGTTAGCATGTGACCTGCAGGCACTGACAACCACTACTCCCACTCCTGTGCAGCAGGAGAAGGCCCAGAGTACATACATGTGTTGCCAGCCTGTGAAGTGGAGGACAAGGGGGCTGTGTGCTGCGGGTGCAGCAGGGGTGGGGGGGAATCTGCATGCCACTGGCACAGCCCAAAATGCAGAGGGGCTTATATTGCTGGCACAGCCTGCACAGCAGGAGGGGATCCTGGAGGGATTACCCCTGCAACATGTAGCTTGTGTGGTGTCTGTCCCTTGGCTGCAAAGTTGAGCTATAACATTCTTGTACTTCAAACTCTACATTTCCTACACTTCTATCTGCCAAAGACTGGTGCAGGCTGGGCAACATGGCTCCTATCAACAAAGAGGGAGAAGCAGGAAATAGTCTCAGGCACTGTCCAATTTCCCTGTCCCCCAGGCTCCCTGACTGGATTCAACAGAGGGAAATTGCATCACCATTTGTGGGCATGTTTACAGCATATTCCTCTAGAGCTGTCTGCATGGCACTTGGGCAGGCAGCCCAAGGGAAGACTTGAGCAGGAGATAGTTCTGATACAGTAAATCTGGTGTCTGCTTACCACAGATGCCTGTTATTGATGTCTGTTGTTTCCCTGTGTCCTCCCTCCCTAACCATGCTGCAGCTCTAGAACCTTTTAGAGATTATTAGAAACCATTTCATGCAGACTGCTCTTGAATTTGCTCCTTCCCCAGCAGTGCACTAGAAGCACTGGCTCCTGTTCTGCTCTCAGCTGATTTGCACTACAGTGGGTGCATCTACACATGCATATTAATACACAGGAATAAGTTCTGGCACATATTGCGCTGGAGTTTATTGCTCCCAGGTGCTGCATTTACACATGTGCCTGCTCCCAGATGCTGCATTTACACGTGCCCAGGAATGCAGCATGTTGAGCTGGGTTGGAGCAGCCCTGGCTGGCAGGGAACTGTAGGGGGGAGGAGGGAGAGTGTCATCCTGCCAGCCAGGCGCTGCTCTGACCTGACTCAGTGTACTGTGGAGGGACTGGCTGGGGCACAAGGGTGCTCCAGTGCAGAACTAGCCGACAGGCAGCCCCCTGACTGAAGCACCCTTGTGCCTCAGCCAGCTGGGTCAGTGTCTACACAAGATTGCTGCACATGAAAAGTCCACAGCAGGATAGTACTTGTACTTGCAGGTATTACTTTGCTGCAGAGTTTTAGTTTCATGTACCCTAATAGAGCTGCACGTGTAGATGCTGAAATGTTTACTGCAAAACTAATCAGGCAAGCAGCTTTGCAGTAAATGTCTCACTTAGACATGCACAATAAGTGTTATTCCTTTTACTAATTGAAGATTAGAGCATCTGGTTGGTCCCTGCTAATTTTGGGGAAGTCTGCCTGATGCAGTCAGCTGGGACAGCCTCCTTTTAGAGAAAGAAGGTACTGGGCATATCATATTATCCACACCAAATAGTCATGCTAGAAAGCTTAGAACCTGAACAGTCAGGCAAGCAGTTGCATCAATGCAGCTCCTCCCATGACCCAAGGAAGAGAGTGATTAATAATTCATCCTTCCTGGGCAGCAGAGAGCCTCCAAGGACAGGAGATATCAGATGTCTAAAGAGAGTCTAACAACTAGTGTCAGAGGTGTGCCTTTAAAAAGAAAAAAGACGGAGAAAAATTAACCAGCTGAAGAGTGTGACACTGACCCCAACCTTGATGTCAGACCACTAAAATGTCTAATCCAAACATAACATGCAGAATCAGACAACAGAAGCACTGAGTGTTCCTACACTATACTTGTCTCCTGGCTTGACTCAACCCCTGGTACAAAGGCACACAGAGGCAACAGTCTATAATTGCATTCCCAGACCACTAGTAATTCGACATTCGCCAAAGAAAACTATTTTCTATGTTGTGAAAGATGCCCTACCAGCAAAGCCACCATCCGGGAACAGGGCAAGAGCTGCAGGAGAGCTGGAATAAGGTCCAGGGTAAGCATAGCAGAGCAGAAGAAAGGTTCATCAGCTAAGAGAAAAGAGAAAGGTATTAACAAAACCTGATACATATATTTTTAAGTTTCTGTATTCCAAGCCAAATTGGCCAAATCAATTCCAAATCCATGTGTTAGTCCAGAACCATAAGTGGCCCTACTACTGGCAAACATCCTCCACCCCCACTTGGGACTTCAGATGTCCCCAAATTCTTTAGTGGGCATCCTACTTGCAGGCCCAAGCCCAGAGGCTTGGGGTTTGGATGCTCCAAAGAGTTTCGCTTGCCCTTAACCATAAGGCCCTAGGAGTAAGCTAGGGAGGAGTCTCCCATTTTCATAAAGTGGGTATAAAGCCAAGGTTAACTACACATTACCTACACAGGTACTATCCCATGCCAGCAGAGCAGTCTTTCCTGGGTGCAACTAGGAAGCCACTGTGGTGATCACGGTATTTTCCCTAGGTAAGCATAGACTATGCTTGATCTGAGCCCACAAGAGGCCAAGAATCGATTCACAAAACCTGAATATGATGCTGGCATGACTCAAATAGAGCTTTCACCAAACGAGTCAGGAGAGGGGAAGGAATGCTGCACACAAACGAATGCTCATTGCATAGGTTGAGGCATGTTGTGACGGTATCAGCCTCAGAATAACTGAGCTTACAAGATATAAATAAGAAAACTTAGCAATTGCCAGTGACACCCCTCATCAAGCATAGCAAAGAACCTGTCAGAGGCAGAAACTCTTAGGCTTAAGGAAAAGAGCTTGATCTAGGGAACAGGTGAGGCTGGAGCGAGCTAATGGCTGTTCTGTCCAGGAGTGCTTTAAACTACTATATTTCCCTAAAAGAGACCCCAGCACCAGCTTCATGCATGTGACTAGTCCTAGTTTAAAGGCCACTTGCAGTATCACAGGTTCCGATTCAAGGTCTCTTTGAAGCTTTATTCCTTTTGAGGTTGTAAAAATGTGAATCTCAAGACTGATTTGGAGCAAATCCAAGGAACTCCCATTATTAGTTATGCCAGCAGGGTTTTTTGCTGACAAGTGCAGGAGCTTTCCTGTTAGGCTGGGTGACCACCCATAGTGCAGGAGAAATTCACCTGTGAGGTTGTTGAGAAGCCAGAGACACTCCTGTACGATGAACAGGTGGTGGTTAAGAAAATACTGCATGAAGGTAAACAAGGCCACAAGCAAGCGCTCATCCTGGACCTGCATGTTACAACCTTCCATCTCCTCGGCAAGTAGGTTACTGAGACACCGCAGCACAGGGCAGATCAGCTGAAACAGTGAGAAAAACAGCAATGATGATCAAGTAGCTGTACCCCTCCTACAGTAATGCTTCAGACAGCAGAGCCCACTGGGTGACTCTGCCAACCAACCAGTGACCTCTCCACCTTTCTACTTACCAACTCCAAGCCATCAGCAACTGCTTTTGATACCATGGAAGCAAGTTCCAACAAAAGCAGCACCAAGGTGGACATGATGCCTTGGGATATTAACAAGGCATTATTCACGCAGCTGCAAAGGGAGGGAATATTACAGAGAATTAAATGAGAAAACACAGAACCTAGTAAACTCCAGATCACCCTATCCACCTTCCAGTATTGTTGCCTTCTCCGGCTTGACTGCAGCTCTAGCAAAAAACACGGGGTTCAAATTGTTTCCACTCTCTAAAGTCACAAACAACTTTGAGTTGTGCTCACAGGGTCGCTCTATAGGGTAGCTCACCTCTGGGTAGAGTGTTGCTGGGACATATCAATCCCCAGAAAACAATGTTTTAGCAAATTCAGGGCATGAAAAAGAGAAGGTTAGAGATTAAACTGTTTGAGGATGTTCATTCTGCAGACTGGTACCCATAGCATACATCCATTCACCCCCATCCTTTTGTGCATGCCTTCTTCCTCTAAGCCTGGGAAGCTGTCAGAGATACCCCAGAAGCAGCTGTGTGACACTGCAGCATAAGATTACACAGTCCAAAAAGGAAGGCCTCATCTCAAACCAATCCCAAGCAACAGACTGAAGAAAACAGTGGCACAAAGTTGATATGAGCCTTTTCTGGCCATCTGGACCACACAGCCACACAGGCGGGGCAGAATAACAGGATGAAAAAGCTTGGAGAGTCACTAGCCTAGGAAAAGTCTTCAGTTTAGACAGAGTCAGTAATAGGAGATTGCAAATGGCCTCAGCACAAGTGACAGGGATTACAGTTAACAAGTCCCATCGAAACTGGATGTAGCCAGATAAGCATATAAGGGAAAAATCCATAAGTCAGTTCTCCCCTAGAGATCTGCCCAAGGGGATGAAAGAAAGAGCATTACACAGAGTGACCCTGTCTCTAAGCTAAAGCACTCAGCACAGAGTAAACCAAAGCAATACTAAGGATCAGCTCTTTCTAGTGTTAATCTCACAGATAGGACCTTCACCCATGCCTGTGTATCTGGGTGCCCTTCCAGCTTTAGAGAGGTCCAAACCCGTAATAATGTGTTTACCTACAAACAACATAATGCAGACACCAAGCAAATTCCACGGCGACTCCCATACCCAACTCCAGGTTGGAACAAACCAGTTGAAGCATATGCTGGGGGAGAGCAGAGTCCAGAACCAAGCTAAGGACAGAATTCAGAGAAATATGGATTTTTGTTAAAGGGGGATTAAACAGGAGGACAAGCAACACTATCTCCATTGTGGAAAATTCAGCCTGAACTGCAGGACAAGGGATAACCACACACACCCCCAGCACTCCCCAGATTTTGTTAGGGGTCTGCTCTGAGATATCAATGTTATTGAGACACATGATGCTTCATGATCCCTGGTATTCAGCCACAAGCTTCATCTTCACATGAGAGAAGGGAGTTCTGCTTACGGTATGATCTCGATGGAAGCTTCTTTGGCCTGCAGGAGTTGCGACAGGACATAGCCCAGGCCTTCCAGCACTGCCTCGTGTGGGGACTGAAATCAAAGAGTATAGTGCTAACTCTCTGAAACAAACCCAATAAGAGTCAGATACTGCATCCACTTTACAAGAGAAAGGGGACAAGACGGTACATATAAAACAGCTTTAATGTAATGCAGAGGAGGGGAGAGGTTGTATTTGATTTCACTGGAGCTTGAAATGTGTCAAGCCACTGCCAAGAGCCTTCAGTACTCTAGGAAATCTCTCATGGCAGAAATGTTCTATACTCATCTGCAGATAAGAGACTGAGAGGGTCCTGGTAAGGAACAGCACAAATCCCAGACAGTTACTCTTGAAATGCAAGCCTAGCAACTTAAAATCATAACAGTTCCAAGGTGCACCCCACTTGCATCACAGGAAGACATTTTTTGCAAATGGCCTGTGTGAAGGAGTTTCTCTGCCATTCAAACAAGCTATTCATGACTACAGCAACTTACTACACAGGGAATACACCTTTCTGCTTGGCAGGACATGTGAAGAGGTAGCAGAGGAAGAATCTGGGATGGGGCAGCTGGGTCACTCACCTGGATACAAGAGGCCAGTGCTGAAATAATGCCCTGAGGTAGAAGCTGCTTCCTCACTGCTTCACTCTCCACTACCAAGTTCCCTAGTGTGTACAAACACAGCTCCTGAAAGACACATGTGAGAAAACATATCTCCTATCCCTATGTGCCACCAGGGCCCCAGCCCAACCTGGTGAAAGGGGCCCCACTAGCAACAGAGATATTCTCTGTAGAGCAGAAAACAGCAACCAGAACCTTGAGATGCCTGTATGCTGACCCTAAGGCAAAAGAGATATGGTCTCCAGATGGATAAGCAGGCAAAGAAACTAATGCCAACTAAAAACTTCACTGATCGCAGCTTCCCCTGCTTATGCAGGAAGTCGTGGCTAGCTGAGGGCCATACTAGCAGCATGTCGGGGACCTAAGACTTATTAAAAACTGTAGCAACCTTCATCTCCAACATAGGAATGTAGGAGCTGTCAGACTGGGTCAGATTCAAGCTCTAAAACAAGTCTCCTATCTCTGAATAGCCAGAACCAGATGCTTCAAAGGAAACATGAAAGAGCCTCACAACAGCAGAGCTGGGACAATTGAGCTCCCACACTAGATCTCCTCCTGATCCCCAGTAGTTGGAGACTGGCTTAAACCCTGAAGCATGAGATTGTCTTCTATCCCTTCCAAAATGCTGTTGAGAAGAGACTTCAGGAGGTCACATTGAGTCCAACCCCTGCTCAAGGCAGGATCATCCCTGACTAAACCATCCTAGACAAGTATCTGTCTAACCTAATCTTAAAATCATCCAAGGACAGAGATTCCACAACCTTGTTACAAGGCTTCTGCATTTAATGTTAGAACTCAAGGCGCTGTTGTTATCTGCATGACAGTCTATGGCTTTCATTCTTCCTGAGTTCCTGGCCTCCATGACATCCGGCAGCAGCAGATTCCACAGCCTAACTATGCAAAGTGGAAAAAATATTTTCTTTAAATCAGCTGTGAACTTGTTTCCATTACCATCCCCCTGTTTGTGTTATGACCCAGGAAGGATGGACACTCTTCAGCTAACTAAGCCAAGCCATTCACTATTTTATATGCTTTTATGTCTTTCTCTTTCTTATTTGTCTCCTCTGAGGCTGAAACTAGGTCTCTGTCATTCCTGATCTTTTCAAGGTCTCTTTGAAAAGGAGTTTCCAAGGCCCTGGTCATTTTCACCAACACTTCTGAGACCCCTCCACTTGTGCAATCTTCTTTTTGCGAAGCAGGGACTGCTGCTGCACACAGTATGAGAGATGAAGATGCACCACCCACTTACACAAAAGCATTACACACTTTCCTGTATTATCACTTATCCTGTGTCTCATTCAGCCTTACATCGTTTGTTTTTTGACTACAACTGCACACTGAGCAGAGGTCTTCACTGAGTTGTCCATAAAGATGCCCACGTCCCTTTCCCAAGTTGATAGTTAATTTTGAGTCCTACATGGTGTATGCATAGAACAGTTCTCTCCCTCCAGTGTGTATATTTTTGCATTTATTAATGTTGCTGCCCCATGCTTCAGCAAGTCCCCCACAATTTTAACTGACCAAAATCATTTTGCCTTATACACAGATTTGGCTATCAGTGTTCACCTCTCCCCATTTTCACAATACCCTGGGATGCAGAACCATGAAGGGCATTTATACATGTGCTCCAAGAGTGGGAGGTGGGGGGGTAGGGAGCGCTTTTATTACAGTGGCTCCAAGAGCCACTAATTAAAAAGCACCCAGTGTCACATGTATCAGCGTCCCCATGCTGAAAAATGGTGGGGGTGAATGAGCTTTAGTTAAAAGTGGCCCTGCCACCATTTTTCAGCATGGGGACACTGATACAAATGATGCTGGAGTCTGCTGGAGCACGGTAATTACCGTGCTTTGACGCACTGTAATTACAGGGCATCAAAGCAGCTTCGCTACACGTGCGTAGGCGCCCAAAGTGCCCAACTGTTCCTCTCTACGAGAATGAAAAATGATCATTTATTCTTGCTCTTTGTTTTCTGTCTCTTACCTAATGTGTGATGCAGGATAATATTTTCTCTCTCACCCATGGCTACTTAGAATCCTTATATTGCCCACCGCCAAAATGAAGAGCTAGCTTCAAGAATGCCATAATATCTTACAACTCTGTACTAATGCAGTGACCATGCATGGGGTCCTGCCCCTCTTCTTACCCTAGCCATATAGAAATTTCACGCTGGACTAATGTAAGCTGTATGACCAACTGCATGTCTTAGATCGCATTAACATATAACAAGTATGTATCCATGTAGCCACCAGGCATGGAGTCCTGCTTCATCTTCCAACTCTATCAAGCCATATAACAAACCTAATTTTAACATTTTCTCAGTAAAGCCTTTTGTGAACAATTTGGCCAAAAGTCTTATAGAAGTTGAAATAAATTGGACCAACAGTTCGCCACTATCCAGAATGAAGATGCCTTCCAGAGACTACACGCCATCTTATGCTGTTCCATGTTGAGCCAAGAGGCAAGGCCAGCAGTCTTATAATAGAGCACTACACACTGGGACCTGTACCTGTCTACCTCTCTGGCTCAGTACTGAAACTGAGGGCAGTTACAGGGCTGTAGTAGAGACCATTTTGGCTTGCATATGGCCAATAGCAAAGAATCAAAAGAAGCAAGAATAATAGCAAAATAAAGATTTGTATCTTACTGTGAATTCTATACTATGTCCCGAGAGGTAGGTTAGGAGATAGGAAGTTGCTGGCAAACATGCCTCAGCCACAGCAGGGTCACTGGAGTGTGAGAGTTCATGCAGACAGTGAGCTGCCTCCATCTGTACGTCAGCCAGGCTACTGGTGAACAGCCCAATTAGCACCCGCATGCTGCCCTCTAACCTGAAAAATCCAAGTACAGCACTGTTGCTTTTGCTTCCCCACACACTCCTCACACCCTACTCCCCATGAAGGGGAGGACAAAGTATCTCCCATGAAGCAGGCACTAAACCCCAGCCCAGTTCATGGCTGGCCTGGCCATTTTTTAAGTACCTTCACTTGAAAGGCCAAAGCTCTGACTTCATTGCAGTTATACTAGAATTAATTTGGCCCAATCTTTGGTTACTGATTCCATCCCTCTTCTTTTATGTTTTCTCCTCCTCCCACTTCTGCTTTTTCCTTTTTCTTGATGCCAAAGTTGCTGTTTCCAAAGTCACTTTGTCACAAGTGGGTGATGTGACATTTGCAGTACTGAGCAACCAGAGGGAAGTTGTGGGGTTGGACAATAATCCCCATAAGATATACAGAATGAAACCCCAAGCAAACCAGGGGCAATGTAGACAAGGGAGTTCAGTACCCAGCTCTCCTGGTTAAGAGGAAGGACCTTGTAGCAACCCTTTGCAGAATATTGTCCTGAAAGCTAAAGTTAAGGAGAACTAGAGCAAAGCTCTCAGCCTCCCTTTGTCAACCTAGATGGGCTAACAAGTCAGCCTGCAGCTCACAACCCACTGTGTTCCTACAGACATCTAACAGCACAGGCTTGCCTGTAAGCAGCCCAGCAGAGCACAAAGGCACCCAGGCCACAATCTCCAGAGGTCCTTGCAAGCTGTGTTCTCAATAGAACATGGAAGACATCACATAAAATAAAGATGCCTTTTTTAATGCATTTTTTAAATAAGCCACATTTTTCACCATAGCAAAGTCCCCAGCTTCACTGAGAGTAGGTTTAGATTGGACATCCGTAAGAACTACTTCACAGTTAGGGCAGCTAGGATCTGGAATCAACTTCCAAGGGAAGTGGTGCTGGCTCGTACCCTGGGGGTCTTTAAGAAGTGGCTTGATGCCTACCTGGATGGGGTCATTTGAGCCCAGTTTTCCTCCTGCCCAGGCAGGGGGTTGGACTTGAAGATCTACAAGGTCCCTTCCGACCTGACTTCTATGATTCTATGAAACATTTACAGTGACCCCTGCTATACAGGACATGTAGGCCAGGTTCATCTAAGTGGATATACAGACTGTCCTTGCAATGGTTGCTAATAGAGTGGACAAATGGTCTATGGCTAACCTGGTCCTTGATAAGTTTAAATTTGTGACAGCTGGGTGTAAACACAGAAACACAGATTGATTAACCTGACAAATTTCTGCTGTGTCTCTTTGTGCTGCAGTGCCTGTCGAAGGCAACTCAGTGATTTCTTCCGTTCCTCTGTTCCCTTCTGGGTATCTCGGAGCAGCTGCAACACCTGGCAGAAAGCAAGAAGCTGGGTGAATTTCCAACAAAGTTCCACAGTAAAAGTCTAAAGCCCCATCTTTCTCTCCAGATGTGAGGAAACTGAAGACATGATCACCTGTAGTTATTAAAAAATTCAAAGTGTGCGCTTATGTGCTATGTCTCAGGCTTATACAGCATTTGTTAATTTTTTTATAATTCAAACTGCTAAACAAGCCTAATTTATTAACAGAAAAGGAACCAAAAACCAAATATATAAGCTCTATACCTCTTGCTCTGACAGAGGATCTGTTGGGATCTCCATACCAGCTTTCCCTTCTCCATTTTGGGTATCTTCCCGCAGAAGTCTCTTGCTAATCAACTGCTGTTGCTTCCGGGCCTTTCTTAGAGCTACAAACAAAACAATCACTGATTGCAGACAACAGACCATTCCAGATCAAGACAAGTTTCCCCTGACTGAAGCAAGAGCTCTTCTGTGACTAGGAGAAGCTGCTGTTTTTCTCCTGTGTGTCAGTTACGTATAATTTAGCAAAAGACATCTAGGATAGGGGGGTTATACGTTCTTTACAAATAAATAAAAGAAGAATTTGCATACACTGGAAAGGGAGGTCTGAGTCTGGGCATACATTGAGGAGTTGCAAGTCAGGATAGCAAAGGCAGAACTGAGGCATTTGAATACATGGATGACACGGTGGAGGTAATGAAAGGCCAATTTACTGAGATGGGAAAAGAAAAGTTCAGGGATGATAGCAGAGGCAAGCTGGAGTTCTGAACCAAAACAGAAGACATGGAGGCATATTTGCAGATGTAAGAGAGAGGCATTTAGAGTTTCTGAGTCAAAGGATGCTGAAAAGAAGGCCCAGATTATCACTACCATCAAGCCATAACATAAATCAGGGGTAGCCAACCTGTGGCACAGGCAGCCTCTATGTATGGCATACGGCTAATGGGGGCGCGGACAGGCAGCACAGTGACAGATGGGGCAGGGATCAAAAACCAAAGCAGCAAATCAGGCAGGGAGCACAGGGAAGGAAGCAGAAAGCAGAGCAACAGCTTGGGCAGGGGCAGGGGATCAGAGTGGCACACCTGTTGAACAGGTGGGCCTCAAAGCAAAGAGCTAAATGTAACTGGTCCAAGTCAAACTAGAGGCAGGTAAGGAAAAGGAAGAGGGCCGGAACCTTTGGGGGCTGAGGGAGTCTTGGCAGAAAGGCCAGAGAAGGGGGTGTGATTATGCAGGTGGGGGCACCCGGCCGGCAGCGGCCCCCGTTCCCAGACTTTTCAGTGAATTTCCCCTTGAAATCCTCCGTGTCACAGGGGTGAAGGTTGTAGCCGTGTTTTAGGCAGACAAGGTTCTTTGGGTGAATCCCGCTGCCCGGGGCCGATCGGACGGGACGGGATGGGATGGGATCGGCCCGGCCCGCGGCCCCGGCAGACCCGGGGGCTGCTCCCGCCCCGCGCGCACCTGCCTCCT